TTCCAGCAGCTCGTAGTTGCTGCCTACAACTCTTGTAAGAATATTAACCTTTGTTCCATTTCATCACTCACTTTTCTTAATGTGAGAAATTATTGAAAAGCCTCCACTAAGTGCGCCACGGCGTGCCCGGCACATATGCGACAGGTGCACGGCCCCGGTAGACCTCTACGATGGTCCCCGGGTCCGCCACTACCGCCGCCTTGCGTGCTTGACGTCGTAGTCTTGATCCGATCGGTCTTCTTCTTCTTCTTGCCAGTCAGAGTCCTTGCCTGATCGCCAGTTGGGGTGCTCGTAACCCACTGGTGGGGGAGTGTTTATTATACTGAAATAGCCCCTTATATATTGTCCTTGTTTACTTCATGCCTTCTAGTGATCTTCTTCATTATCTTTTCCCACCCTTCTCTCCCGGCCTGCATCCAACTACCTGAAATATTCCTACTCCCCTACACCGTGGAGGAAAAAAGGTCCAGTGTTAACGACACCTGATAATGGAGCCATTATCACTTGAGAACATTTGTGAGTACTACTCAATTCTTTGGTTGCCTATCAGTTAAACCTTTAATGGTTCATAATTTTCAAGATGAAGAGCAACCGACTGACACTTTTAATCGTAGCCGTGAGCATCGGCACACCCTAAATACCACTGGCACTGCCCTGCTTATTCCATCTCCCCTCTTTTTGGGTCCTGTGTCAAAGTTGTGTAGAGCGTGTCGGATTCCGTGTTCAGAAAAGCACGTTCGTTCCAATAATTGAGGGGGGGGGGGGGGGGAGAGAGGGGCGGTTGCTGATTACTAGAACTTAAAAAAGGAGGCAAGCTCCAGGGAAGAGTGTGAAAGTCACGTGAGCGCGGTGAGGAAACAGTTATGAAATGAGAAGTCAACCGATACTGTTCATATTGGTCCTCTAAAAAGTCGTAGGTAACCGGTAGTGGGCATGTGGTGCACGCATTAGCGTGCGTAGCCCAACTGGTATTTATATAGGGCAGTAACTTGGTGAGTACGTTCATGTAGTAGAGTGAGTACTGCGAAATGAAGTGAGTGATGTGGAGTGAAATGGGTACTTCAAAACCGTGACTTCGATCTGTACCGGCATCGTGGTATGAATGTCTTTACAAAAATCGGAGGTGATAATGTAGCTGGGAGACTTCCACTTTTTTCGACCTAATTTCAACATAAGGAGGTTAGCCCATGATTGTGCTCACTGACGTTTTCAACCGAGAACATACATTTTTTTGACCTGAGCTTCAGGAGGGAAGGGGTACCGAAGTGGGTGATTTAATTGAATATTCAAATCACACCCCATTCTAGCTTTTTGCTCGAGGTAATAATCCCACCCCGTCGCTCTTCCCCTTCCGAAGCTAGCTTGAAACAGTATTCTCTCGCTTGGAACCTTTTCTTTCATTTCGTTTAAAAGGCCACTTTTCACATTTTTTCTGAACAGGACAAAATAACACCAAATTCAATATTTGAAATAAATCACTCGATTTGAATGCTATCGTCATGAGATTAACACCTAATTGGCTACTGTTCTAATACTTTGTAGTGAAGCTGTTGGCGTCGATACCGGCTTTGCATCTGCAAGGCACTGATTCGACCAACTTGTCGATCAGGCACTCATCGATTTCCCTCCATTCTTCCTCAAATAAGCCAACCTTCTGAGAGAAATTGTGACTGTTTTACCGGCTTTCCTTTTCTTGAGTTCTTGCCACGAGGGTTAAATGATGTTTAGGTCAGGGGACTGGCTAGGTTAGTCAAGGCATCGGATTTCCCGGTGAGTCAGCCACTCGCGCCCCTTCTAGATCTGTGCTCAAGGACGTTATCTCGCTGGAGAGCAAATTTCTCTCCGTGCACAGGACGGGAGAAAGGTAGCGTGCATTTCTGCAAAACGTCTATGTACATGTACTGGTCCACAGTGATGGGAATATTGTGCATGCACCCCATGCCTAGACTCGGAGACCATCTCCAAACCGATACTGAGCGGACACCATGCCTGAGAATTGTCATATGGTACTTGGGGTCGAAACTTGTGTTTTAAAATAAAAGCTCGTCTACGAACGAAACCCAAGTGTACTAAGCAAAACGATCTTTGAACAGTCGCTCTAGATGACTTTGCGTCATTGGTCGAAGGCGCACTAAAGGTGCTCACGCGCCGCCCATTGAACTCGAGCTCATCTGTTGATGCAGAGATCCAGATACTTTTTCACGAAACTTCTTCCATATAATCCAGCATCCCAGGCTCTGTTGACAGTACTTCTAGATGGTAGCGATGTCGTCGTCGTCGATGTTCCGGCCATTATATGGGGAGGTGCTCGTCTGGAATCTTGGGTCGACGCGCAAATGATCTTCCTATCATTCTAAGGAGAGGCAATCCGTGGCCTTCTCGAGCTGGCTTTTTGATTAGGCCTGTGAAAGAGTCAACACTTCCAATGGTCTTCGTAATCGTAGATATTGTCACAAGAAATGTTGCGCGTTGAGCTGGGTCAATTTCTGCTTACTGCTTGTGGAAATAGCGGAGAGCTGCTCCACGGTCAGAAAGCGAGAGCCAGAATTTCGTCTCTTTACAGAGAGTGATCAGCTAACGGAACGAAAGAATCATCAACATTTCTAGACTCAAAAAACACAATGAAACCTCCCTAAAGAACATGCCCCTTTCGCATGTGTTTGAAAAAAAATCACCCACTTGCTTAAAAGTGAGCTACCGCCGATTCTATCGCAGGAGAGTCGGTAGTGTTTGAAAAGCGTGCTGTCAAAAAATCAACCAGAAAGATTGAGTTTGAGATGTGTTACGGCAGAGAAGGTTCAGGTTGCTTTCTTTTTGAAAGGTACTGTATGTTTGTGTGTGTGTGCGTCGGTGTTTTTTCCAAGTTGCAAGTTGGTGCAAGTTTCTGCTGTATAAATGAGAGAGATATTCTACTATGCATAATTCGCTGAGTTGTCTGTTGGTGTGTCGGTGTGTGCGTCCGACCGGAAATTCATAACCCCTGTTTACGTGGACCTGAAGCGTTCAAACTTGGTAGGAGTATGGGGACGGGATGGGAACACTTATGGTGTGTGGCAGGACCGGACTTCGTTCGTAGGAGGCGAGACGTGCGCGATAGAAATTTTGAGCCGCAAATTCATCACTCCTGTCCCCGTGGACCTAGAGCGTTTAAACTTGGTAGGATGACAGTTTTCGTATTAACAGTGGATCCTCAGCATTTTAAAAGTGATTTAGAATATGACGGGCTCGTAAGTACTCGGTGAAAGGAACTGATCATAACTAATAAGAGAATATAAGGGACCTAGGAGAGGCCACCTATCCGTCAAAAATCCGAACGTCTTCGGTATGATTGTAGATTTGATCGTTCAGTATGTTTCTTCTGTAAGAAGGGATGCTAGATTAGGGTGACAAAAGTGAGTGTTAAGTGCAGTGATAGGGAACATTAGCGGCAACACGCTGAGTAGCGACTTTTGTTCATTTCTTGCTATTAATTACGACGGCTACCAAGCAGGTTCGTATCTCAATGAAGGAACCTCTTTGCTCGAAATGATATTGGACAAAACTTAATCGACCGCCAGTAATATGAAATTCTTAACTAATGATATCTCCATAAAAAAAGGTCTATTGATGACGACATCTGATAATACTGTCATCATCACTCGAAACTTTTGTTAGTACCACCCAAGGCTTTGGTGACCCAACAGGTGAATCTTAATGGGTATTTACAGCACCGATTTACATGGGATACCATTTGGACTGGCCTGTTAGTCCTGAGCCAAACCTCGTGTGCAGAAAAATATTGTTTGTTTCGAAGAAGGAGTAAAGAGGTGCCCGATTACTACAACTTTTTCGAAGAAGAAGGGAAGCCCGGCGTTAGCCGGACGAATCGACTGGCATAGCTAAGGCTTTGGTGGCTAAAAGGTATAGGGTGCGCCGTTTGGCGCTTGCTGGCACTACAGGAATCTAATCAGTCATTTGGTTACCCGTTCGCCTAATAGTCGCTATGAAGGTTTCTGCGCATCGGCCCACTATCGCGAATTGCTCAGGGAAAGTTTCAGCAGCTGCGACATCACGAAACGACTCGGCGCTTCCTCTTCAACAATACGGAATGTTGCCGCTGCTCTCAGAAATGGAGGACAAGCCTCTGAGATGCCAAAAAGAAGACGACCGAGAACAGTGAACACACTGAGGGTTCGTGACATTATAAGGAAGAGGATCACCCGCAACGATGGAGTCAGCACGAATCGGATTACTCCTGACCTCAACATCAGCCGTCAAACCGTCCAGAAAGTGGTGAAACGCGACCTCAAGCTGAATAGTTATCGGCTCCGTCGAGGAGAGTTTCTTTCGGAGCAGTCCAAGCAAAGTCGACTGATAAGATGCAAAAAACTTTTCCGAGAACTGGGGACGCGCCGCATTTTTGACGTGATCTGGGCTGATGAGAAAATTTTCACCGTAGAACGCTATCCAAACCGTCAAAACCAGAGATAGTTGTTGTCAAAAGCTGACAGCAGGTCCCCAAAGCGTAGTCTTGTGCACAGCAGGCTATCTTCCAAAAGTGTTATGGTTTGGGCCGGGGTGACATCAGAAAGCAAAACACCTTTGGTCTTCATCGACAGAAATGTGAAAATCAACTCCGAGGTCTACCAAAAGGTAGTTTAAGTGGACGCCCTGCTACCCTGGGTCACTGAACACTTTCATAACCGATCGTTTGTCCTTCAACAAGATTGGGCCCCTTCCCATGCCTCAAAGTCGACAAAAGCCGGCAGAGCTTTGCTAGGCCTACATGGCTCTTTCTTCTTACCCAACGCTCAACCGGTTCCGAGCTTGATACGACACCTGCGACCCCAGATGATATCAAATTCAATAGACAGACAGGAGCAAGCGCGTACATGTGTTACATGTGATAATGACATTTATAGCAGTAGAAGCCTAGGACTACATATTTTTTTGAAGATGCACAAAGAATTGCATAATTCCAAAATGAAAAGTCAATGAATATAGTCAGATATTGCATTTACCTAGAAATTGTTTCATCAGAGCAGGTCGTTGTAGGAGGAGAGCGCCTTTTACAAGGTATTCGAAATAAGAATCCACGCCGGCACCAATACCCGTATCAGTGGCAGTCCACTGTCCTAAAATACATACTAGTCAGACAGCTTGTAATAAAAAAGACAGTAGACTGCTTTCGCGGAAGAGCATTTTTTTGAAATTAACATCATAGCGCGAAACTTGTCATGAATGTAGAAGAATTTTTTGGAAGCGAGTTGTTCGGAAAATCCCTCGATGAAAAAGGAGTAAACACGCTTCAAAAACGGTAAAAACTGTTAATTGAACAATTAAAGGGGTGAGTAAAACAGGAAGCAAAACACCGTAGCAAAAGGTAGGCCTGACACTAACCATGTTCTGGTGATTCATTCGGAGGAAAAGGAATCCGTATTGATTTTACAATCCACGCATGGCAGATATTGCACAGGACAAATTTCAGAATACACACATACATACATATGTATGTATTTCGTAAATTGCATAAACAGTGAACTGCAGCAAGGATATTTTCACTGATCATGAGGTTTTCACATTTAATGCAAACACATAAAAGTGAATAAACCCATTTGCTTTGTAGTTAATAACAAGCCAACAAAACAGGTACCGTAATTCCCTAAAAGCCAAAATCGGTGTCTGCTGAGAATAATTTTTACAACCAGAAGCAACAACTAAGAGCCCCAAATAACCTGTCTGAACATTGATGTGGTTGCCGACCAAACCAAGAGAAGATCGCGTCCTCCATAGAGACTCTAACGCTTTCAGTGCCACTCGCTCAAATTGAGGATCACCCGTGAGACGAGAGAGCGTGCCGAATTCTGAAATTTTCGTTATTGAGAAGTTTCAGGGGGAGAGTTTTTCGGATTCGTGACTAGCCTTATTTAAATATGTACTCTAGTCGGACACAATGCATAACGGATATTTCTGCATGTGGTGTTTCCCGTCTTTTCTCATCCTCTTATAATTCTGCTCGCTCTTTTTTCATAAACTGCCCGAAGGATTACATGGGACTTCTATGAGAATGCACTTAGGACACCTGCAACTAGCACACCTATCAAAGTCAAATACTTTCTAAAAGAAAAGGAAGAAACTTCGAAACTTCTACAATGATGTTTTTTCAGAATTTCATTTCTCAAAGACCCCATTCAGATAATTCTGAGGTATCTAGATAGTTCGAATCGAATAACGGAAGCTATGGTGGAGAGTAGTGGAATGGCGAAGAAGGCGCGAAAATTAGCGGTTTTGAAGAGAATTCGAGAAAGTAACAAGTAAGGTTACTAAGGTTGTAAACGTAAGGTTACGTTAGAGAATGTAGAGATTGCCGTATGCTATCGCCCGAATGCCTCCCACAAAAGATTACTATTGGTTGCGCCCTAACGAATCATTGTGAACCAGTTGAGCTATGCACGCTATGCGTGCATTATATGTCCAGGACAGCGTATCCATCAGTGTCAGATTAACAGAATAGCATACTTCTCCCTAAATTTAAACATGGAACTGCTTTGAGAACATCCGCTCGATTTATTTCTTCTGTGCAGAGTATACTAGTGTTTGAACACGGCAACATCTACCTCAGTGTAGACCCCACTAAAAATTTGACCAACCCTACATTAGCTGCCCCTAACCATTTTCGCCGCGTTCTAGAACGTGTAAATCATAGTTATAAATTTTCGATCTCAGTCTAGCGAGCCCGCGTGCAAACTCGAGCACCTCAGCGTTTTCACCACAAACCCTCTGAAGCCATCCGCCACTCCTCTCCCGCGTTCTGGAACATTTCGGAGTTATGAATTTTTGATTTTGGACCCACCCGCCTTAGGGCAAGCCTCGCTCACTTCGAGATCTTGAAAGCATTTCTTCTGTAGCCTCTGACCACTTGTTTTCCAAGCTGTAGAAAGTTTTTAAAGAGAGTTATGAATTTTTGATCTTAGTCCCGCCCACCTTAGTGCAAAACACGCCCACTCTTAAAGTTTTTGCTACAAAGCTTCTAGAGCCTTCGACCACTTTTTTCCCGCGTTCTGGAACGCTTTTAAACAAAGCTTTGAATCTTTGTTCTGAGCCCCGCCCCATTCGAGCGGACTCCGCCCACTGCGGGAATTTGGCCAAACTTTTTCTACTTACTCAACCACTTTTTGTCCGCATTCTGGAACAATTTTGAACAGAGATATGTGGTTTTGATCTTGGCCCCGCCCGCCTTAACGCAAACTCGGCCCTTTCTAGCAGTTTGACCACATTCCCTCTTTTAACTCCAACTATTTTTTCCCGCATTCTAGAGCATTTTTGAAAAAAGTTATGTTTTATCTTGGCCACACCCACCTCCGTGCGATCCCCGACCACTTCAGAAAATTTGCCACGTTTCTTCTATTGCCTCTAACCACTTACGTTCCACGTTATAAAGCTTTTCGATATTTCCATTTCACGTACATCATACTAAACTTAATGGAAATCGTGAGGAAACATCTGAGAGTATATATTTGTTGTAGGGTAGACCGGTTCAGGATGAAGACCAGCGAAAATTGACAATGGTTGGAAGTGGCGTGCGAAGAAGGAAGATGGAGAAGATACAAGTTGATCTAGAAGAGGGATAAAGGATTTGTATAAAAGAGTGAGAGGGGAGCAATAAACATTCACTCGTCAGTGTGTTCTCTCGCCAATCAACTGGCGATCAGGATGACTCAAGAAAGAAGACGCGGAAGAAGAACACCAACGCCAGACGAGGAACGAAGAAGACAGAAGAACAGCCCGCCAGTTAGCCAAGGATCACAAGCACAAGGCCAGAGGCAGTCCACCCACCAACAGGAAAGGAGACGGACGAAAAGGGCGGTATAGTTGGAGCACCCACCAGGGCAACCGGAGTGCGGGAAGTCTCCCCGGCAGGTCAGGACCCTGCTACGGGGCCCTCGATGTATATCGAGAACGGAGTCCAGGGCCATAGGTGCCGGGGACTTCCTGGAGTACCTGGTGGAGGCTATTCCAAAACCTTCTGGCCTTACGTAGAGTAACCGATGAGGGTGATAAACGCCTCATCTTTCTCCAAGAGGTTGGCGCTTCAAATTATGAGCTCTTAGAATCTTTGTTACAGGGCAAAGAGCCAGAAATGGCTACAATGGTGGAGCTGAAGCAAGCTATGGGCAGCAGTTTCAGCTAAAGAAGCAATTGATGGCGGAACGCTTCGGACTCATGTCCAAGTCGCAGAAGGCTGGTCAAACGCTGCAGGAATACTACGCAGAAGTGCAGAAGGCCGCTAGCACATGTGGATTCGAGAAGGTCAAAGATATGCGGGATGCGATGTGGCAATGGTATTCATAGATGGGCTGGCATCTGTAGATACTAGGAAGCGGTTGCTCGAGAGGGAGGAGTTAATATCGAAAGAGGTGTTGGAGATGGCAGAAGCCGTGGAAAGAGTTGGCAAGAACGCACCTAATTTGAAGCAAGGAGTCACTGAACTAGGAGTGGAAGCTACTGCATCTAGAGAACCGAGACTCTCTTCTCGAGCGAGGGTGGAAAGACGGGAGAGCAGTTCAATTCGAAAAGTAGATCCTACTAATACAGGGACCAGAGGCCAAAGTAGAACTGTAGAGGAACGGACTGGTGTTCCACCCAGTGGACCGCAGCAGCGTTGGGTATGCGTTGGTCGTGGACACATAGCGAAGCAACGTCTTTTCAAGGGTAAAGGTTTTGCAATTTGTTCACAACTGGAGCATATACCCAAAGTTTGTCGGGTGAGGCAATGCCCGACCAAGGCATCCCGCCAGATACACTTGTGTGCGGAGCATAGCGATTCTGAAGAAGAACAAGAAATAACGGTAAGTAGCGTGCGAATAGCGAGATGCCGGAATCACATAGGAATTACCTCGCTAAAAAACGGGAGATCCTCAAGAAGGAAGAAAGAGTATGAGGAATCTAAGTTATAGTAGAGTTGGATCAAGAGTACGAATGGCCGTAGAACCGGCCATAATGATTCCCATAATGGGTGAATGGAAGCAGAGTTGATTTTGAGCTCGATACAGGGGCTTCAGTTTCAGTTATAGATGAATCAACCTGGAAGAAGATAGGAAAGCCAGAAACGAAACCGATCAAACTGGAGGTTACGGCTTACAATAACAGCCCTATCAGTTTTGACGGTCGATGTTTAGTGAATTTGCAGTTCGAGGGACGAGCTGTAATGATGGAAGCTATGTGTTACATACGGCCAACCACCCTCTATAGACATGATTAGGAAGCTCCAGATAGATTGCGGACCCCAGAATGGAGGGAAAACCATGTTATACGAAGAAGTTGCGTGAGAAGGTTAAGAGCCTACTAGAAAAAAACCAAGTACTATTCTAGAAAGGATTGGGTAGATGTACGACAAGAAAAGTGTCACTGAAGCAGAAAGAGGGTATAGAAAAGCCCAAATTTTGCAGAGTACGACCGGTCCCTATTGCTTTAAGGCCTAAAGTTGAGGCTAAGTTATAGGAATTAGTAGATAATGGTACGCTCACGAGAGTAGAACATTCGAAATGAGCCACACCACTAGTGGTGGTTCCCAAGCCAGCAGGGAAAATAAGATTATGTGGAAATTATAAAGTGACGATCAACCCTCAGTTGGAAATCAACCAGTACTCACTCCCGAAACCTGATGATTTGTTTCATATGTTAAATGGAGGAAAGAAAGTTTCCAAGATGGATTTGTCCGATGCGTATATGCAATTAGAATTAGAGCCAGAGTCTGAAAAATATAGAACAATCAACACCCATGGAGGAATGTTTGTGTATAATAGAGTCCCATCCGACATTGCATCGATTCCGGGGATTTTTCAAAGGATTATGGAAACTACTTTAGCTGGAATAGAAGGAGTTAATATATGTCTGGATGATATTACAGTAACAGCCCCAGATGATGTCACGCATTCGGCGCGATTGAGAGAAGTGTTGAAACGATTGAGGGAGGCAGGGTTTGAACTGAAACGAGAGAAGTGAGTTTTTGAAATTTTGAATGTGAATTTTTGAAGGAAGAAATAGAATTTTTAGGGCACATTGTAGATGCCCGAGGAGTACGACCATCACCAAAAAAGGTGCAGGCGATGTTAAATATGCCTGAGCCAAAGAATTTGAAGGAAGTTGAATCGTTTTTAGGAATGGCGCAGTATTATGGTTAATTTATCCCAAACCCTTGCCAGCCCCACTGAATGGGCTGAGGAAAAAGGGAGCGGCGTTTCGGTGGGAGGAGGCGCAGGAAATGCAGTTAAGCAGATAAAACAGCGATTGACGGAAGTAGATGTTCTAACAGTGTATGGAGTACAAAAGTTCAAACAATTTTTGTATGGTCGAAAGTTCACCCTGCTAACAAACCACCAACCTTTAGTGAAGATATTTGGACCAGAAAGTGGAATACCCACGATTGCAGCAAAAGGGCTACACCGTTGGAGCCTTCGCCTCATGATATATTCGTCGATATAGAATATAGTATGACCTCGGAATTCGGGAATGCCGATGGGCTATCCAGGTTGCCAGATCCTAAGGAATTACCAAGCTCGCAGATGGTGGTAAATGAAGTGATGGAGAAACAGATGACGGCGGAAACATGGAAGGATATGGTATTAAACGAGCAACAAGTGGGAAAGGCAACAACAGAAGATGGCACAAAGTTGTGATATTTGCGCAGCCTTCGGGAATGAGATGAGAAGAACACCGCTGCATCCCTGGAAAACACCAGCAAGTCTGGCAAAGATTACATATGGATTTTGCCGAGACCGCTAACGGCAGGAGATGGTTGGTGATAGTGGATGCAAAGTCAAAATGGCTCGAAGTGGTGCAAATGGGGTCAACCACGGTAGAAAAAACGATAGAAAAGTTGAAGGATATCTTTAGTATTTATGGGCTACCAGAACAAATAATGGTTGATAATGGGCCACAATTCACAGCGAAGGAATTTAAGGTGTATTGTAGAAGTAGGACAATCGAATTGACTTTTATTCCACCTTATCACCACAACTCCAACGGGGAGGCGGTATGATTGGTGCAAACTTTCAAGAAGGGTTACTGTAAAGGGCGGAAAGCCGGTAAGACGTTAGAGGCAACTGAGAGATTTATTGTTTGAATATAGGGCAACGGAGCAGCCGCTGACGAAGACCTCTCCGGCAGAAATGCTAATAGGACGTTCGTTGAGAACGACGTTGGATTTGATGAAGGCCCCTAGTAACCCGATATTGACCCCCCAGATGAGGCAGATGAAGGAGCAGTATGACAAGGGGCGAAGGAAAGGAAATTCGAAGTAGAGCAGCAAGTGTATTTGCGTAGTTATCAAAGCCGACATGAGAAATGGATTCNTAATAGGACGTTCGTTGAGAACGACGTTGGATTTGATGAAGGCCCCTAGTAACCCGATATTGACCCCCCGAATGAGGCAGATGAAGGAGCAGTATGACAAGGGGCGAAGGAAAGGAAATTCGAAGTAGAGCAGCAAGTGTATTTGCGTAGTTATCAAAGCCGACATGAGAAATGGATTCTAGGGGTCATCCTGGAAAAGGTGGGATCGAATACCTACCGAGTGCTTCACGGCACCCGTAGTCGGATGGCCCATGCGGACCAGATAAACAAGAGGGTGACCTTTTGGGAGGAAGAGGAGGACGCTCAGAAAGGAAGAAGGCCGGCCGGAGCAGGTGTGCCCAAGCCAGGGAGAGGAGAAGTGGATAGCCGGAAAGACTCACCGCGAAAAACAGCCAGAAAGAGAAAAATGACGGAAAAGATGAAGTGTTCTCTAGCGGAAAAAGATCGAGAACGGATAAACATCTGGCTAGTATTGGTATGATAAGGAAGCGAGATCCTCATAGGAAGGAGGCTAAGGGGATAAAAGGATGGAGGGCGGCAAGGTTTATTTGCTTGCTGTGGGAGAAGCGGATGAACATTGCACCAGGGCCACCGATACTGACTTTGGGAGATGAAAAGGGCGCCGTGATGAAAGCGGCGGCCCCGGTTGCGGAAGAAGCCACACAATGTTCTCTTGAGAGACCGATGTAATGATGTTTTGAAGTGATGTTGAGTAAGTAGTACAGTAAGTGGCCGGGGCCTACGGAGTTATCAAGGTAGAGTGACTGGACGGTCACTACGTGGGGATGTTGTAGGGTAGACCGGTTTAGGATGAAGACCAGCGAAAATGGGCAATGGTTGGAAGTGGCGTGCGAAGAAGGAAGATAAAGAAGATGCTAGATGTTGTAGAAGAGGGATAAAGAATTGTATAAAAGAGTGAGAGGGGAGCAATAAACATTCACTCGTCAGTGTGTTCTCTCGCTAGTCAACTATATTAAAATTGCCATAGGTGTCTGATCATCTCTACAACACCCCCTTAACCTGATTCCACGCTCTGACAGTGCTCGAGTAAACTCAATTCAGCGCTAGCTCGGCTACTAAAAAAAGCCCAATCGCATATCACAAGTAGCTTATGAATGCAATTATTTCAAGGTGAGTATTGAAGGAATGAGAAGTCGATAAATAAAGAAACGTGCAATCTATTAGGTTGTTCGGAAAGGAATGCGCGTTGATTTTGTCCATCCATTTCTCCCCCACTATAAATGATTCTTCAAAACAGCTTTGTCTATTAGAAAGAGATTTTCATTGCGCATCTTTTGATATATTTTTGTCTATGTCTACTTTGTTTTTTCTGAGGAAAAAAAGCTTAAAAGGTGCTTGACCAAAAATTCCTTTTGCGGGCTTGCATGTGGTACAACTTAAAGCAAGGAAAACCAGCTACTGAATCTCATCATGTCAAATCTGAAGAATACGGCGAAGAAGCCCTGTCAGAAAGCCAGTGGCGACGATATCATCAGCATTTCAAAAACGGTAATGAAAGCTTGGAGGACGAAAAACATGGAAGTCGGCCTCAATTCGTCGATGACCGTCATTAAATTGGATCCACACCAAACCACCCGGGAACTGGCAACACATGTTGGCTGCTCAAACTCTACCATCCATGAGCGTTTGCTGGCATTTGGCAAGACGAACAGGTGTAGAAAACGGGTGCCGCTCCAGCTGAGCAAAACAAACCAGGCAACACAAAAGGCGATGGCCGAAATTCTTTTCATCGCTCCAAGAACAGCGGTTTTTTTAACTCTATTAATACATCAGACGGGAAATGGATCTGCTTCGACAACACAACACGAAATAGACAGTGGTTAGACGCCGGTGACACTTCAAAACCCACTCCGAAACCGGATATACACGGCAGAAAGGTAATGCTCTGTGTTTGGTGGAACAGCAAAGGTTGAGTGTCGTTTGAAGTCCTGAATTCGGGTCAAACAGTTACGGCTGACATTTACAAAGATCAACTGAATTGCGTGGATCAAGCACTGCGTTGTCAAGGTGTCGAAACGACGTCGACAAAAATCTTCCTCGACAACGCTCGTCCACATGTTGCGAAAACCATCTTGGAAAAAAATTGAGGAATAGGGGTTGAGAATTCCTGCCTCATCCGCCTCACAGCCCAGACCTGACTCCATCCGATGACCATCGGTTCCGGTCAATGCAGCACTCCTTGGCCGAGAGAAAATCCAAAAACCGCGAAAATGTCCAACTCAGGGTGTCCAACTACTTTGAGTCGCAGCCGGCCGAGTTCTGCAGGAGAAAAATCCATTCTTTGCGGAAACGTAGGCAACAAGTCATTGATAATATTGGAGAATATCTTGTGAATTGATCTTGTTTAATTTCGTATTTATAATAAAAAACTTTTTGAACTCAAACGCGCATTCCTTTCCGAACAACCTAATACATATAATATAATACTATCTGAACCACCCTATCATTTCTTGTAGCGAAACATATAGCCACAGCTGAAGCAGTTAGATCAGAATTTCTTGCCGAATATAGACAGGCACATTCATTCGAAAAATGTGTTGCAGAGATTGAAAACATCTAGCCAAAGAATAAACGCTTAATTCAAATAATGATTACTCTGTATTTTGTCACCACAACTTCATACCAAAAACAGTTCACACCTCATGACGCAGACTTAACAACTCACCGACTATAAATGTCCCAACACCTGCTGTGCATGTGATGGGTGTTTCAGTTTTAGGTACACCATACTTCAAATTGACTGTTCCATACGGCATTCCTGTTTCTGAAACTCTCTAGCAAGTCTTCTCCTACATTCTTGTTCTTGTGTTCTTCCATTGAAAAATCAAAAAGAATTTGGTTAGAATAAGAAAAAAGAAAACAAAATGTCACATCATTGAACAATCTTGATTAGAAACGAACTAGAAAGCAGCAATAATGGCATTATACATTACTGCCTCGGACTGGGTGGAAATGGGAAAGAAGTTCTCTTATGAAGTATGATGATGGTAACAAAAAAATCATGCAACATAACTGTTTGTTAGAGGTACTTTTACATGGGGGGCGCGCGATTCACGCGTGACCCCAACAGAGCTCTTCGCGCACTCAGCATCGTTTCAGTACTTTTCTGTTAAAATGGACCATATAAGATTTGCAGTAGAGATGCTGCAAATTTCTCTACTGTGGCTATGAACTGCTATGCTACTTCGAGATTCAGAACTCACTTCGTAGGTCAACAATTTACTTGTCAAACGTTCCAAATTAGAATTACTTCAAAGTTTTTGATCTATACAACCGCATTCCTTCTATAAACGTGCATAGTTGGTCATTTTTTTTCTTATGTTATGCTTATGCTTCCCGTCCGATGACCTCTATATTGACGCGTGAATCGCGCCACACACCTACATCACACCGTCCGAAATAAATTTATTGCTGATTTACCTGTGTTAAAAGCTGGCAGTAGTCGAGCCGCCATAGCTTCCGCCAACCGTAACAGCGGCCCAGAACATGGCCATCCGTCTTCCAGTATCATACCTAATTTTTCATTACGTGCATTTCATATATATATTTATTTATATTTATATATTTATTAATTATATATTTCAAAAACAAAAAAGAACGTGGGATCAACCTTCAACGCGACCGCTAAGCATGTGAGCGGACACTAGGCCTCCAACGATTCGTATGTTTGTTTCAAAAACGGAAACATTAACATTTGCATGTGTGCTGACCTGAACCACAAAATTACGATCATATCAACAAATGCAGGAAAACACGATAAAGCTATTATATTTAAGAATATTACAGCCAGGCACAGCAGATAAGTAATTGGCATCACTTCTTACGCTTTTCAATACGAGATCCACAGCTCGTCTGAATTCAGTAGAATTACCCATAACAATAAGAGTGTCCAAAGCATCAACTAGTGAAAGTGAAAATGATCCCCACGTGTCATGCCCTAAAACAGTGATATTTCAGCTATGCGCACATAGAAAGCACAAAGACTACTGTAACTACTACCTGTACATGAAATTGGTCTGAGCTCATCCAATGGATAGGCATGATTCAAGTATCCGTTGTATGCGTGGTAGAACATTGCACGAACCTTCTCTCGATATCTGAATTTGCACGCTTTGCTGGGGTAGATACAACAAGCAACAAAGATCAGCATTGCAAGGTACCTCTTTTTAAGAAAGTTTCATGAGTGCCTAAGCAGATCTCTGCGTGCAAGAACTTATAAATATTTAGATAGATAGTCGTTGAGCAGAATGCAGCTCCTGTCTCATGCAGAGCCAGAGCCGAGATAGCAGAGAACGAAAATATTGCCCATTTCCGAACAAATTCCGAGGAACTATAGTCAGGCATCAAAAAATTTATTCGTGGGGAAATGTTTGCACGAAGAAGGTTCATTTATTTGCGTGCACACTCATGTAAGCTTAACGAGGACGATGTTTAGTTTTAGCTTCAAGCTTCAAATTCCATGAAAGCACTTTGTAATGCTTAATTCGAAACGTAGAACATTCGAGAAATCTTCTCTTACTTTGCTATTAACTCGCTGTTGATTGTCAGAGAGGAACATGATGAAAGAACCACAAGCCACACTCCTTTATACAGGAACATGAACAACCAAGCTAAATCGTAGGTAATCACGGTTGGAGAGCTGAAATTGACAAACTTTCTAAACAATGGAGGCACCTTCGAGAGCAGTAGCTCAACAACAGCGGCAAGCTTAAGCAGAAATAACCAAATAAACCAACTCCTTTCAGTACTTCATATTTCGCAAAACAGCTCACGGCAAGAAAAAAAAATTCTAGACATTTTTATTCAACATGACACCCGCGAGACAACTTGCGATCGTTTACACGAGCAACAAACGTGAGGAACATAATAGATTATCACTGCGGCAGTTTTAAAACAAACGGGTACCGGTGTGCCTCGACACACAGTAACCTGAAACAATTGAAGATACACCTAACACGTGTTCAAACACTTAGAGGCTCCACTGTTCGTTCGTTCGTGATGCTACCAAGACGAGTCTCCAAAACGATTCAAAGCTGTGTGGGCATCACGCAGATCACCTCGCACTTTTTCCCGCATATAGTAGAGAGGACAATCACGAGCTGCACAGGATACCTAGAACGTAGTGTGCTCGCCCTACGAAGAATAGAATGAACCACATAAAAGAAAAAATCAGTGATAGGCGTCTGACCCTCGCCTGGGTTTCTTTTCAACAAGTAGCATTGACAGTTTTTTTTTTTACAAATTAGGCACGATATGTAACTGGAAACACGGTGGATGAACTGCGACTTTTCGTCTTCCCTCTATGAAATGAAATACTCAAACCTTATCGTGCATTGTTTTGGCGCAGTTCTGACACTCGGTCCACAATCTCGAAAAATGCCGTTCAAGGACGTTCACAGCTGCCATTCTACAAACATTGCATAAGAATTATCAACGTTAGATTAATTTCCAGATATGATGAATTAGGATTCTCTTGGAGTACCGGGTAGAAGTTTATTCTTGTATTTACACGGTTCAAAAGCGACAACACAAACCCGAAACATTTACGACATTCCCTTCGGGCATGGAAACTTCGCGCGTTTGAGTATGCGGGCGGTGAAAGGTGCGGCGAAATACATGGCGATTTTGACACTCTAGCGCTTGGTATTGGGCCACATGTTTAAAGTAAAGAAGATTAATAGGATAAGCTGATCCTACTAATCTATTCTACTTCAAATTTGAGCCCACCTTAGTGGAAACCCCGTCTACTCTGAGGATCTGACCTCGTAAACTCTTTGCCATCTGACCAACTGGCCTCCACGCCACCGCTCAGTCAAGTATGAACTTACAGTAGCGGTCAGAAGTCTTCGAAGAAACGCTTTTCCAATCCTAATACAAGAAAATTCTGATATGTCTAACCTTACCTTGAACCAAACTAGTTTACACTTCTGACTTCATAACGAGCAATCACGACGCGCAGGAGTTTTACTACTGAAACGATTTTCCTGGTTGCGAGGTTAGCGATAATTGCTTTTTTGCATCCCATTTGTGTTCGACGTTAGTACTTGTGCACCAAAGGCATGCATAGAGGGACAGAAGTCACTTAAGGAGTTCGGCAGGCAGCAGCAGACATAAGGAATTGGACAAGTAAGTCACGATCATTTCAAGTTTTGGAGATCCATAGCAGACGATTCCTTCGATTATCCGGTGCTGTCAGGTTAGCCCTCCACCGAGGTGTGATTCGTTTCTCGTAGGTTGGTGAAGTACATCGGGGTCTTCCCAGAGAGAATGAGAAGACCCCGATGTACTTAACCAGGCTAATAGAAACGAATCACACCTCGGTCGAGGGCTAACCTTCGTCTCATTGCGGCTGACATTGCCGCTCAATTCAGCCTAGCGATAGCACCATTCTCGGTCGGCGGACTGTGAGAGACGCCTGAACAAGGGCGGTATGTATTGTAGGCGTCCAGCCAAAAAGCCGTTCTTCAGTCCAGAAAATAGTAGGACTAGAGCGGAGTTTGCGCGCCTCACCTCAACCAAACCTCGACTGAAGTAGCAGAGTTCTTTTCATAGACAAGAGCAAGTTCAACTAGTTTGGAAGCGATCGTATACGCTACAGACGACGTCCATCTCCGGAAAGGCTTAAACGGTATGGGCCCTGTTTTGAAAATTGACGGCACGAAGACAGGGGTGTAGTACACGAACATGATGATCGACACCTTCTTGTCATAGGCACAGCATCACATGTCAGCAGTGTAGATCCTACAGCAGGATAACGAGCCGAAACACACCTCAATAATTACGAAAGCGGCCTTTAGCGAACAGCGAACTAAACTTCTGGAGTGGCCAACCTAGTCATCGGACCCGAATCCTTCAAAGCACATGTCGAGAGAGCTCAGAAGGCGTTTTCCGAGCAAACTCTGCGAAAGAACGAAGAAAAATTCGCTCAATAAGCGAAGGAGCAGAACACCATGTCATGTCAACCATTCAGAAACCAATCGACTCTATGCCTTCCCGTTGCGATGCCACCAACAAAAGCCGAGATTTACCAACCAAATATTGATGTTCTCAGTGTTTTGCATGTTGCCGAAATGAAGCGATTTTTCTTAGGTCAATGCTATCTAAATTTTCCACTGAATTTTTAATAAATCGCACTAACGTACTGTGAACAATAGCCAACTGCAGTTCAATAGCGGATTAAATTCACAATATCTCTTAGATCAACATACTAAAATTACATGCGATTTTAAGAAGTAGGAAAAAGTTACAATTGGAAAAGCGTTTCGCTGAAGACTTTTTGACCACTACTGTATTTAGTGAGTACTGCCTACTCCGAGAACGCTCCACCCACAGCTGTGCCCGCTTCATTTCATTCGTCGAGCTATCCGTCACCTTTGCTCAATTCTCCCCAGCGTTTGGAATGTTATGTATCCAAAAAAAAAGTTAGCCCATGACACCGCCCACTCATATGCATGCCCCCCCCCCGTAGGCGGGGCTACTCTAAGCTATCATATGTGATCTCGCTCCATGCCCAACCCATGCCAATCTTGCCCCGACCCCGGCCCGACCACGTGCTTTTTAAGGTATTAGGGTCCGGAAAGTTTCGAGAAAATTTTGCCTTTCAACTTTGAAAGCATGTTGCTCGCGAACGCGTTCAAGAAGGACTGTTAATTCGATAGTAGCGGAAGGGGCATTGTCGATAGATAAGTACTATAACTAACTGGTATTCGACGTAGTCGTTTGAAGTAATCGTCTACCGAACGATGTGCCATTGATAAGACTACTGGAGCCTTCTGCTTCACCATTACGAAACTGAGCACTTTGACACTCATGCTTTGTATGAGATATGGTGAATGATTGGTAGCAATGACCCTCTCTTTTCGCCTACCACAAAAGGTACGATCGCTTCCTCTGAAAAGAGATTTGCCTTGACGAAGTTTGTCGAAGCGAACGTCCATTGTCCTCAAACACATACACTGTTGTTCTAGCCTCCCGTCAGAGCAATCCTGTTCAAAGTCTCAGGAAATGAAAGAGGCGATCTCTTTCCCCCTAATCCATCATTCATGACATTTTACGCAAAAGTCGCTTTCAGAGCAGGAATCTTTGCAAATATCGCCCATTTCTTGGCTGAGCGAGAGCTCGAGGCTTCAATGTGTTTTAGAAGCTCCTCGACTGTAGCAAACTACGACACCAACCGATTTCATTACTGCTCAGGATGAAAAGTAGATGTCATATGAAAATCCACACAGGAGATCGCAATGCCTACCGACGGACGTAAGGCAACAGCCCGCTATGAAGCGAGATGCTCACGCCAAGGAAGACACGAGCTCATTCTTTCTCTGCTCAACAGGGTGTTCTACTGGAGATCTTACCAGAGTGCACTGCGGCAAACGCAGGACTATTCTGCTACCGGCTTGGAGAGATGGGGTTTCCATTTCGCACCGATTACAGCGAAATTTTCGACTGTGATGGATAATGTTCGACCAACCCGGGGAAGGACGTCGATAGATGAGCTGGAAAGACTCGGTATAACCTGAATACCTCAATGCCCACATATTCACCTTACCTCAACCCATATTAATGCCATACTTCCAGAAGCCCACAGACCTGCTCTGAAGGGGAAAAATTCACCAACTCACCAATTCACTATTACTGCCATACTTCCAGAAGCCCACAGACCTGCTCTGAAGGGTAAAAATTCACCAACGTCGTGAAGTCAAGTAGGGGGTAGATGAATGTGTTGCGTCACGTCTCTCTTCATATTGGGGGGGGGGATGGCATCAGAGCCCCGTCCGGTTGATGGTTAGACATTGTGGCTAAGGGCCACTAGCCCGATCAATTATCTGTTACTGTACTCCACTTTTACTGGTGAGCTTTCGGCATAATGCCTTCGTCAGACCTCAATTATTCACAATATGTTGCTGCATACAATCAGTTACTATCAGTTACAATACAAAACACATCGAATCATACCAAGTCTACCGAAATATTGAGGGGAAAAAGGGGAAAGGACCTGTCGGTGGGGAACTTAAAGGGAAAACTCCGTTCTTATCCCGAGGCGACTAAGTGTTATCACGCAA